CCGTGCCCCTAGTGGCATCCCCACCGTCTGCAGTGCCGCCTGTTGCTCCTTCCCTTTCAGGCGTGTGTGTGGGGAGTGTATGAGCAGGCATCTCTGCCTCAGCGCAGCCCCGGTGGCCATCTTAGCCCCCAGGTGGTCCCCAACCCACCACCTCATGGGTAGGGTATGTCCTCCATGAGGAAAGGCAGCTGCTTGAACCCTACCGAGCTGGGAATGGAGAGGTTTTCCTCAGCGCCAGCTCCAGCATGGGGGCACCATGTCCGTAAGCGCCAATGTGGCACTGAGGTAGTGCTGCCATCCTGGGCGCTGTGGTGCTGAGGTGAGGCTGCCATCTTGGGTGCCACAGCAGGGTCGCCAGCTTGGGTGCCACAGCAGGGTCGCCAGCTTGGGTGCCACAGCAGGGTGGCCATCTTGGGCACCATGGCATGGCAGCCATCTCAGGTGCTGAGACATGGTGGCCATCTCAGGCACCTTGTTAGCCGAGGTGACCGGGCTGGGGGGCCACCCCACACGGTACGGCCAGGGCGCTGGGGGCTTTTTCTGTTGGCTGTATAAACACCCCCCTGCTTCCTCGGCGGCCAAGTGGCCTCCTCCAGGTGCGGCTGGGAATCATTAGGAGCTCTCCGCGCCGGGCTGAGTGTGGGAACTGGAAGAGAAAGCTGGAGAGAGGCCTTCTTTCATCTCCCCACTCCCCCCTCCCCCTGTGTCTGCCAAGCCTGGCTTCCTTTTGAATCCTTTAGCTTGTGCCAAGCGAGGGAGAAGGGGAGGGGTGGGGGGGGATAAAGAGAAAAAGGGAAGAAAAAAAAAAAAAAACCCACAGGAATGTGTCCAGGGATCTGGCTTCATTCAGCCTGCCGAGCCCTGAATACCCCGGCTCCTGCTCGGGGAGCCGGAGGGAGGGAGGCCGTGGCCGCCCCCGCGACAGAGGCAGGGGGAAAACAAACAGGGAAGCGGCATTTGCGGCACGGCTGTTACCACAGTGACTGACAAAGGGCTGTCTGGGAGGGGGCCGCGTCCGCGTCCCCCCGCCGCGGGGCTGGGGAGGTGGGGGCGCCGGGTCAGGGCGCCCCGAGTCCCGCGGGGGGAGCGAGGGCTCTCGGCGTCTGGGCGAAGCCCAGGCTGCGTTTCATCCCGGCATGGGGACGTGGTGCCCAGACAGACGCCCTTGTGTCGGGCCTGTCTCGCAGTACAAAGGCGACAGGGCTGCTCGCAGGGAGGGCGCGAAGGGGAGGGCGGGAGGCTGTTCTGTGGCACTTCGGGAGGATGGGTTTTTGACTCGCTGCCGACTTTATTCCCAGCAAATTAATAATTTCCTCTCGCGGCAACAATGTTGGCCTCTGTGTGTGTGTGCGTGTGTGTCGGTGTCTCCCACTGCCCTCCCAACCTTATTTTCCCCCCTCCTCCCCACTGCGCACGGAGGGTCCGCGCCACTCGCAGGGGACTTCCTCCATCCTCATCCTCAGCTGGGCTTCTTCCAGCTGTGCGGAACTGCCAGACTCGGTCCAGCTGTGACAGCCACCTCCTTGGGGAGCATCCCGGCAGGAGCGCTGGGCCCGGCTGTGAACGGATGATGTGAGTGCCAGAGGTGGCGGGGAAGCACGTTGGGTGGCGGGGAGGGAAGGCGCAGCTCCAGGCAGGAACTCTTGGCTTTGCAGCCTGTCTGGCAGGGCGCTGGGTGAAACGGGAAAGTGAGCAGGCAAGCGAGCACGCGGGGCA